ATAGACTAGAAACCAATTTCGAAAAAAAATTCAAAGGGCTGTAACTTTTGAACCAGTAGCCCAATCTTGGAACTGTTTGAAATTATGGATTCTACAGGCCACATTCTATAAGAAAATCTTTTTTTCCGATCGATTTCAGGCAATTTTTTATAATAAATGTTTTTGAAAATTTTTTTTAAATAAGGGTACTACATCGAAAAGAAAAAAAATCACTATCAAATGAGCTCAATGAAAAGGTGCAGTGCCATTAGTGCCATTTAAATAAATTCAATTGTTTTTCGTTACTCATTTGTTTTCTGAAATAAAAACAACTGAATGCAGCCTTATTATGGGAAATAAAATGTTAAACAACTTTCATATAGAAAAATGTTGTATATATTCGATTTTTACCGATATATATACGATATTCCATACATAATGGGCACCCTGTATATTTTCTAAAGTTGAAAAAACAATTTTCAATTTCATACATCCGCACGCAGAAATAGTTGGCTATTAATATATATCCGTGGACTAAATTTTGATCCGATGGTAGAGCAGTCGCCATTTTTTTTTAATAACTTGCTGAGACTTATTGTTGGTTATTGCAAAAGGGATGGAATCACATTTTCCAATAACGCCAAAAAATCCTTTAGCAGTGCCTAGCGTGCCGCGCATTACCCTCAAATACTTTTCAAGCGCATAAACTGGAACTGATTTGAATTTATTTCAATTTTAGCAAACACCGCGACGCGAGACTTTGAAAGGCAGCTGTCAAAATTCGATTATACCAATACATGTTGTATCATCTCTCCCAATTCGAGAAGCTTCAAACCTAATATCGCATATTAGACTGATATAATTTATAAATTTCGTTGAGCTGCCATCCCCCCGAATTAAATTTCAAATGCGGTACATCCCGGCCTTTAGTAAGTCGTAAATCAATTTTTAAGTTAAAAGTATGCGCAATTAAGGCCGCATTAGATACAAATGTGCCCAAGGAATATTGCCAAGAGTTAAGGCGAGCAAATTTATGGGGTAATATTACTGAAAATATTTCTAAATAAAAGGCAATTAGTTAGATATACAGCACTAGCCCCACAAGACATTTAAACTATGCTAAATTATGCGTAACTAAAGTATATGAGATAAATCTACATCTTCAAGCAGTAGCACGTCTGTGCCGTATTGGTCTCCAGTTTCATTTTAAAATTTGAACCATCTTACGTTATGTTTACAGCGCACGATACAACTTTATTGCGAGTGTCTTCTTAGTGTAACCGTGTTTTATTACGCTAATAACATGGCGGACTTGTAGAAATTTCTATTTATCGGAAGTTCGGAACAGATAAGAAATTGTTTTCTTCCTTATTACACAAATGGACTAATTTAAAATTTTATGGTGGAGTTTCCTAGTCTTAAAACTCCCCAGTGGAAACTGAAGTAAGTACATAAATGCGACATAAATTGATAGCTTCCAGTTTAAAATCGAGGCGGAGGAGTATACTTCCCAAACTTAATATAAAACACTACGTAATCATAAAATGTAACGTAATTTGTCTTCTCTATATGACCTAGCTCTCTAATATTTAGACCATTTATTTTAAAAGATGATATATGAGCCATGTGCAGATTTACCGACTTTTTTTTATCATAAATTACACTTCTTACTACCGGCGAGGAAATCTAAAACTGCTATACTCTTTATAGCGTATAGCTTTTTATCCCTTTCAACATAACTTATTAATTGAATGTTGCATTTTATGATTTGTGGTAATGTTCCCACTGCTTAAGACAGTATGCTTGAATTGTTGCAATTTAATGGAGCGATTTTTGCACATTATAGTGCCAAGATAAACTAAATACACAGTATGGTGTGTGTAAATGACAGTGTGGGTAAATTAGTTGCAATCATGATACAATCCATAACCACTTTTCAGTTATGTCAGTTTACAGTTTTCATTTAAGTAAACTAGTTTTTGTTACACAGCATTTAAGGAAAGTGGTTCTGTGACAAAATGAAACTTTCTCCTAAAAATGTTCGCGCAAAAGCTTTTATGATTATTTTCAAACGTGGTTCTTCGGCGAGTACTCAATCGATTTCATTTGCCTTTTCATAATAAAGCACCATACAACGCAGTGGCGACAGATACTGTAATGGCTTTCAGTATTTTCAATTTAAATTGCCTTTTTGCACCTAATTGCGAGGAAATTAGGTGTACATATAACAAGATACAAAGAATCGTATGCGATTTTCAGTAGGGGAATTTTTTCCCACACAGCTCGCATTTGGAAAGTGGACTTTTAATCCGGCTCATATTCAAGCAATCGATTGGCGAAGATTTGACATCACTCTCTTTTCGTTCTCGAATTAGATGAGGAACAGACGGATAGACAGAAGGACAGACGGACAACACCATCAGACCTTAGCAATGAAAGGGAGTTGTCCTGTTTATTGATCGTGACTAACTAAAATAATTCAGGCGACAGGTTCCGTATGATTGGATCAAATTGTTAAGTCGAAAGTGAGGTACTTAACCTTTGACTATAAATATATTCAAAGTACATTAATCATAGCATCTATGACCATAAATACAGTAGGTACCATTTTAAACTGATAACAATAGCGCGGGAATAAGAGGACCGACGACGAAATCATAAAAAAATAGTGCGTGGAAATGAATTTACGTGATATTTAGATACCGAGAGCCGTGTGACAAATCGACCACTGTTAATTTAAAAATGGCCATTCAATTAACCAGCGCCTTGTTTTAGAATTGCTGCGTGTGGTATTTTTCTGACAAACAACAAATATACAAAAGTTCAGAGAGTTAATAAAAACAAAGGCGATCCATTTCCATTTTTCTTAACACGTGCCTGGATATCATTGGTTTAATTCATAAAAGGAAATACAAACAAATTTGCTGTAAGAAGCAAAGATACCACCACCTGCGCATGCGCGATTTTGCCCTTTTATGTCTAAGAATATGTGCACCAAATTTGGTTTCAATCGGTTGAGCCGTTTAGCCGGAAATGAGAGTACAGACGGACCGACAGACGTACCGACATAATCACATGTTTGATTTGGATTCCTGGAGCTTCAAAACGTGTATTTCCGTCAAAAAGTGGGGGGTCATTTTGTACTCCAATGCACTCTAACGTGCAGCTAGTAAAAATGCAATGGCTCAAGATCACGTGGCAATAATAGAAACAATCTTTGTTTCAACTGTCAATTTTTTATACATAATAAATGCCTCGTACCGTCAAAAATATACACCCAACTCTGAATGCTAAAAAATTGCAAATTTCCAATCAATGAAACAAAACACCCCAAATCCTTTGTTTGGATTCGATTCTTTTCAATAAATAAAACACAAAATCTGTTTCATGGAAATGATACTCATGGGTCGATTCTTTAGGCATATTAAAATTGCTTCAAACAAAATTATTAAGTATGTAAATTCCTAAAAATAATCGACCACTACTAGTACGCTTCGCCTCGCGAACTTAAGCAAGAATCCTTCTTTCGCTGAATCTCGTTCGGTAAAAATACCTACGCGGGCCTTCCTTTCTGAACGCAACTTTTAGACTAATAGTAAATCTGAATTTTTAGGGGAATTTTTCGAAATAAAGAGTTCCCCGTATGTGATGATTGTATCCATCTGTCCCTCGCCTAACTCGAGAACGAAAAAAGACCGCGATGTGAAACCTTCGCCAATCGATTTCTATGAGTTCAAGGGTCAGTGCTATTGAATATGAGCAGGATTAAAAGCCTGATTACCAAATGCGATCGGGGTGGTAAAAACTTCCCCTACTGAAAATCGTAAGCGATTCTTCATATCGTGTTCTTACGTGCTCGGCTTTAAACAGAACGGAAAGAAACTTTTAGATCCCAAGCGTGGTACTTTCAGCAATTCACGATCGCTAAATGTGAAAATTTCCCTGTGCGGACCAAAAGACAAATTCAAAACCAAATTTTTGAAAACGGCCAAGAGACCCTCATGTTACAATACGCAAATGAAATTTGAGATGAGCAAGTTACTTCGTGGTAACGAACTTCAATGAATATAAGGCGCTGGCATAATCTTTATTATTTCCGTTTTGTGCGAAGTATCGATCGATGAATTAAACGAAGCATGTTACGTTCTGTTTTTGCGTTGAATATATCCACAGTTTGAGTGTCTGATTGCTGGGTGCGTTAGGGGAGTGCAGGTACGAATGCGAATGGGGGAACAGGTGACGACTTTTCGAAAGACATTGAACTTTGATGTGTAAAATCCGAATCCATGGAGTTAATATTACCGAAATTATATTTCTAAACGTATTTACGTGAATGGAGAGTTGATATCACTTCGAGGTAAAGATATTTTCGTAGAATTCCTTTTTTTGGTTACCACGTTTCTTTTTATGTTATCCCATTGGTTTTAATTTAATTAGCTATCTTTCTTTGACCTATCTCGCAATGCGAAAATTAGATATTAGTGGGGTACGCAAGTTTGAATTTATTAGATTTTAGTCTGATATTGGTATTGTAGTTTTTCGTGTAGCGAGCATTAAAGCAGTTCTATCCTTTTATTGACCTTAGTGTGTGTTGCAGATAGAAACTTCATGAAAAAATTCTGTCAAATGAATTACCTGTCTTTGTACATCTTTTATACTGGTGTTTTTATACATACGCAATAATTAAAATACATAGGATATTGAGTGGCCTTTAGCATGAGTGGCAGAGCGAAGCAGAGCATTGCAACACCATACCATGTATTTTCTAATTGGTCGGTTTAATTTAATTAAACATTAATTAACAGAAACTATACGAAACGTTAAAATTAACATTTCACACTGACATTTCTGTTTTAAATTCGTAATTCGTAATTTCGTATGAAATTGCGCTGAATAATAAATTATTAATGGATGTTATTATACGCTTTCAGCTAAGTTTTCCATTACTGAAGTGCTGTATATTTTGTTGAAAAGAATTAATCAAAGACAACTATTATGATAACTATGATATGATCATTACATTATTGCTCTAAAATAAATGTTCTCCAAATTATTAGGTATTGCTTTTCCTTTGAAATTAGTACGCACAAGATAGAACTCACCTATAACTGTAACGAGAATCATAAGACCAAGAAGTACAGATAAAATCCCCATTAAGATAATATCCGTCAGGGGTTCTCCTGTTGCTTCCAGAAGGGTGCCGTTCGACGTTCCATTTATTTGAGTATTGTTCAGCAAGCCGATACATGTTCCGTTGAATAGGGTGCAATTTATCTCCAAAAATTCTTCCGGTGACAACGCGTCGCTCCATAGCGTCGGAAAATTATACGTATCTGAAAATGAACACTATTAGTCCATCGTATCGCGTTCATTTTGTTTAAATTAACCACAAAATTTTCTTATCGGGAAACGTAACTATCTAAATACCGATCTCTTTCTCTCGCAACGTGTGCATTAATTTTACGGTCTAATTTACTTTTACGGTCATTAAAAATCTTGATGGTTGTAATTCGATTAACGCGGACAACAATCGACACCATTCGCGGCGAATGAAAGTCGATTGCCGTTGGCTGATCAAAAGGAAATTTATTTATTGGTTGTTTCTGGGCTTTGTTTGCTTTTAGATTGTATGGCGCACAATAAAGGTTCGATTATACTTATCGTATGGCTTTTTATTGAACCGTTAATCGAGTCGGTACCTTCCGACTGAAAAACTACATTTAATAATCTAACCAACAAGGAGCTGGTGTCACCAGCAAGGCGTAAAATGAAACTACATTTTGCTAAAAACTAACTCTACAATATGTCGACATCACAAATTAAATGTCCTCCCATCTGGGCCTCAGTTGGCAGGGATGTCACCATTTACATTGCACATGTGAATAAAAATATTACTGTGGCCCCACGTTGGGCGCCAAATAAATAAAATAAATAGTGCTGTGTGCAATGACGTACGGCCAACTACAATACCCACAAAACACCTGAAAACACCTGTCCAGCTAACTCAAAAAAACCAAAATTAGAAGTTTTAGAATTTCTCCTCGTACACTTACGGCATTTGCCACAAAGAAATGTCCAAATATTGACCTAAATTAATAATTTGTGAGACTCGGTGGCCTCGATTAACTTCAGAAAATGCCAAAGAATTCGTTACGCAGATTGTGATCAACCTCTGAAATAAATCTTGCATACAAAAAAAAATATGACATGAAATCTCTCTCCGGGTCACACAATGGGTTCGAATAAACACACAGAAAATATTAAAATTACTTACAGTTTTCTCTTTTAATAATCCTAATAATCTGGTAGTGAATGGTTTGCGATATTCAGGTACACTTTGCAAAGACACACAAAAACACTCGCTGGCAGCTTCAGGAAACTAGACTTTGACTTAAAAAAAACTGGACTCAATAACTCGAACTAGCTTGATAACTAGATTAGAAATATTTTCGGCGGCTGCTCTGACAACCCTGTCTTCAACAAAATTAAAAAATTAAAAAGGTCAAACGCCCGTAACTTATTACTACTACACTGACCTCTCCTTCCTTCGATTTACAAATAATGCACCGATTACAATTAGATTAGGTAATGTCGCCTGCAAAGGAACGCATCCTCACTTCCACCGAAAATAATGCGCGAATCGTCGACCACCCGCTTCTCTTATCAGCACTATACGATAATACTCCTTTATCGCAAACGACCAGATTTCCCTACAATTTAACACAATTATAGGCAACAAGTCTAAATAAACGATTTACACGAGTGATACAGTGTAAACAAAATTTATGGAATTACAAACAAAATCAAAAAGAAAAATGACACTGAGACACAAATTCAAGTAAAACGAACCAACTCTGTGTTTATTCATAAATACCCTCCCCGATTTACCTTACCATAGTGAAATAGATACAGGGTGACCCGTCATTATTTTTGGCATTATAAACCGCAATAACGTGTACATGACATTGTTTAAGCAACAATATATGTTTTACAAAAATGTAGCTGTTTTGAAACATATACCTATTGCTGATCGTTTAGTTTAAAATATTCTTAAATGCCAAGTGTGCATTAAAAACTAAACACGCAAAACGACTAATACGGAGATTATAGTTCCACTAATGCGCCACACAGGCGTCGGTGTGTCTATAGGGAGCCCATATATACTTTTTCTATATGGAAAAGTAAGTGTATTTTTAAAAAAATAAGATCATAAACGGGGTCGGTCAAAAAGAGTTGCTGGATATAACCCATTTTCTTTTAAAATGGAATACCCTATATATTTGATCTAAAAAGATCTTAAGGATCTTAAGTTCTCTTTTCAAAACACACCAAAAAATGATATCCAAAAAGTGTTAAAAAACTTGAACAACATAACAACTTCAAAAATATTGTTGAATCTTTCAGAACATTTTTATCCTTTTAAATCAAGACTGATTTTTTATATTTTAGTGGTTATTTTCGAAAAAAATTTGATAGCTCTCTTTGCAGATTAAAATATATAGGATGTTCTATTGAAAAATGAGGTAAGGCGCGATTACTTTTTTACCTGACCCCGGATACTTATTTTGAAAACATGTACATTATTAAAACAATCATGTAGAGAAAACTTTCTAATAAAGATTTTCCTGTATCTTTTTTAAGTAAGAAAATATAAGGCCATTCTGAAAATTTCTTTGATCTTCTCTCGTATCTTATTATCCGCGAGAGACAATTTCAAGGCTTCTGTTGGGGTTCAAACATTTCGGGCAGATTACAGACCTACCTAATGTCGACTCAACGGGAAAACTAGATGGCAACACTGTGTATTACGCAATTTTTTAGTACATTCGTCAAGGTGAGAGAGATCGCATGGGGGGGGGGGTAGTTTTCAGGGAGATTTGTGAATAAAAACAATTACTATTGAAACGAAGATTTCTTATCGCTCGGTATGACTGTATGTTTTGCACGGGACTTTTGTATCGCCAGGTGAAAATTTGGATACTCGTTGAAAGTGAACCTCGAAAAGTTGTACAGGAATTTGAAATAGGCACAACCGTGTTTCAGGTTCCTCACAATTTATTAATTAATAACTTGACAGCCAACAAAAGCACGAATTAATTGTCTGAAACATTTTGGTTGGTTGGCGTTTTGTTTAAGTTATTAACACCTTGCATAAACACAACTTTGAGTAATAAACTAGTTTTTTTAACGTAACCACCCCAGAGAACTGCACAAAGAAATGTTTGCACCTTGAACCCTAATGCTTTCGTGGTAACAATTTATTTAAGCGCGTGTTAATGCGGCAACGGCACTTTAATTTACGCCACAACAAATTTTGTGGAACTTGCGGTACAATTTTCACTTGAACTCTGATGAAAAACTTCAACTTTCAAAATTTGCATATCATGCTGAATAAATTAGTTTGTGTAGAAGACAAGACTGCAAAATCTTATTGAACAGTTTGAGGCAAACTTAAAAGAGAACATCTAAAAACAAAAATCAGAATCAAATTAAGGTAATAGACGCCTCGCTTCGGGTTATAATATTCCTTCGCCAAATATTCGATTACAGTACGGTCGGTTATGTTCGAAACCTCAGGTTGTCTTTAATTTCATTTTCGAACCAGCAGAGCTTTCGCCAATATTCAAACGGCCCCTGCACAATAATTGAATTGATGAGGGATGGGTACACCTGCGAGGACAAGGATCATTTCCTTTCCATTTCGCCCAATTGTTTTACCGAGATGCCTCGGCGATCCGGTCCATAGCTTTATTTCTAGGTTATGATAAAAAGGCGCTAGTGGCTTTTATGCGACGCTTTTGTCATATCGCCATTGACTGATATGCAATTTCATCCAAATGAGGCTGCAGCGGCGGCCTCCCTTTTATAAGCGCTCGCGACGCTTTATTGCCGGATTAATCCCGCAGGGTACGAAAACGTAACGTCAATATTTTAATTTTTCCGGCCTAAGCGTGTCCTTATTAATCAAGGATTCGAACAAATAAAAAAATATACCTACCCTGCGTTGAAGGAGTCGCTTCGGGAAAGATAACGTCGTTTATGTGAAACTCGGCGGTATTTTTACCTCCGGTTGCTGTTTTGAGGACGTTCTGCGTTAGCATGACCACTTGCGACGTCGTTGCAATGGCGACCCCCTACGCCCGTCTGTTAATCTGAAACGAAATAATGTGTTAACGTCTTTTTCTTATTTCCAAAACAATTAGAAATATCAAAGTGGTCTGTGCCATAAAAATAGAGTTTGGACAATCTCTTTGGGACAAGGCGTCTTTCGACTTTCATTCTGTGCTCTAGTAACCATTTATCCCAAAAATGAAATACACAAGTTTTGACAATTTCTCGATACCAACAACTCGCTTGATTTCATTCTACATTAAAACTGTACATAGTGCAAACGTACAAATGCACATAAAGTTTGCGGTTGTATGAACAGCAGCTTGCAAAGTGGTTGGCAGCTTTCCACGAAAGTTATTAAATGATGTTTTGATCACGAGAACATGATAGGGAACTACGCGAAAAACTTCCCCCTGCATTTCAACAAGTTTTTTTTTTGACACACAACGTGGAGAATGGAATTCAGAGGCCAGACGCTTTTCCGGGAGATTATCTTACAATATCAACTGCTCTTCGACTTTAATTTTATTTAGGCGACAATTATTTTTAGTAAGCTTCAAAGCTTTATCGCCACATATGACTCGCTTTATTTATATATTTCCAACAATGTACAGCTTAACAGGTAAGAACCTGAATGGATCTCATCTCAGCAGCAGGTATATTTACTTGTTTTAGCCTTTAGTCTCCGTTACCCTATCGTTACTTTGTGATTCTATTGCACACAAGCCTTCCCAAATATGGATTACGACATATAGTAATACCACAGAAGCTTTACTTACGTAGGTGGATTTTAAAATCGGAACGTGAATCGTGTGTAAAATCGTAGTGCAACAATTTTTAAATGCGTCCCCGTTCAATTATAATTTTTTAATTATGTTTCCTGAAAACAACAGGCGCCTAGTAGGTGGACATTGACTCATTAAAAAAACTGGGGAAATTTATTTACGACCGACCCTTTGCAGGGAGTAGGTAATTTATATCTTTACAGTTATTTTTGAAACTAGACACTTGTGTGAAAAGAGGGCTGTGGAGTCACTGAAACTCAATAGCAGAGTGAAGTTTGTAAAAATGTGCAAGATAGTCAGGCATTATGTAAGTTCAAATTCAGGATAGGAGTACTTCAAGGTTCTCTCTTTCATTTATCGCTGATTAATTGAATGAAATACATCATAATTTGGACGTAGCTTTTATGATTCACGAAACCTGCTTGTGGTGTCATTGTCGTCAAAGAATACATCTCCCATCAAGCGGATAACGCCAATTACTTGTAATTGGAATTGTTTGTGCAGATATGGGAGCAGCTAACGTAAATTATATTAAATTTTGCTTGACTCTTTTGTATTTAACTTCATATTTTAATTTTATCATTTCATGAGTATAAGTTGAAGTGTTTCAGGGAATTTTGTGCTTGTTTGGGGCAGTTAAAAATAGTTGATTGCAGTTGTCAGTTGCGGCTAGAATTGAGCTTTAAATTTTAGTTCTGCCATTTCAGCCCTTAACACCGGTGCAAGTTTCCGTAGCTAATCGTTCCTGAGTACTGCCGCTTATCCGTGAGTTCGTACTAGACCGAAAGTTCAGCATCAGAGGACGAAAAGAATGTTTTTTTCTCAGGGAAATGGTTTGCAAGCAGCTGATGGTTCCTTTGACCTTAGCTTGGAGAGCTACTCCTATTTTATATCAGTATGACAAAAGTGGACATTTTTTAATAAGTTAAATCAATGCACAATTCAATAACGGTTTGAGAATTAAGGAAAAAAGCATTGAGTGTCCATTAATAATTTAGCAATTTACTAATGGAGGCCGTGCTAGTAAACATTTGTGAGAAGTTTATTTGCTGTTTTCAAGCAAACCTTTTGTAGAGTTTAAAAAAAATCAAAAATTGGATCCGTTGCACTGTTTAATTACAATGCTCTGATAAAAAAAACAGAACCGAATAGCTTGCTATTGCGAAGGAGGCTTGTTTTTAATGCATTTTTAATCAATAATGAATAAAATGCATATTTTAGGCAACTTTTTAGCGCAGTTGACATAAAAAGCTAATTCGAAGAGTAGTTCTAACAAAACATCTACAAGACCAAGAAGTACATCTCACAAAAAGTTCTAAAGGAAAAAAAAAACATTGGCGGTATTCCACCAGGGTATATCTTATGCAATTTTACAAAAAAATTCAAGAAATACGTTTTTTTTTGGTCAATTTGAAGAGTAAAATAAGGGCAGCAAGTTTTACTCTCACAGCAAGATTAAGGTTTACTAAAATACTCAGGGAAACTAATCGCGCTGCTCGTTTACGCTTAATTGTGGGTGACAAAAAGTCGAGGAAAACTTCCTAAGGGAAACCTCTAGCAATATTCGATTTTTTCAGTAATACATAATGATCGATCTGATCAAATCTGATCAATATACACGGTAGGTTTTCCAAAATTGGTTATTCTAAATTTCCTTTTAAATCAGTAATTTTCCAGAAGAGTTTAGCGCACATTATTCTGTAACTCTGTATGTTGTATGGCACGATAAAATCAATTCAGTCGCCGGTTTTGTGTGCTACAAGCTCATATCCGTCCATGTCCGTCCGTTGATAAGCGCAGGTTGAATTTTGTGAAGTTTGCAGGGGTGTTCGAAGACCGAAAAATTTTAAATGCGCCTTGAACTGTCGTAGAGCTCAGTGCCGGATTCTAAGAAAGCGACATTTTTTTTTAATAAATTGGTGTTGAGCCGTCGTAGTGCTCATTACAGGTAGAGTCGTGATAATAAACATAGTAATTTTTTCGGGCGTTACGTGGCTAGGATCAAGCGCGATTTCAACAGTTTGAAAGTTATTTAGTTGATAATGTTGAAAGCAGCAAATATTTACGATCACTACGTTGCTTACTTAGGTGTGATACATCTCAATCAAAAACCAGAAGTTAAAAAGTGAAGCCGTTGAATACAGGCGACTAGCACAAGGTTCAGTATTCCAGCTGCGTGACGGAGAAATCCATGGGAAATTTTTACGTTGACTCAGTTACAATTAGGGTAAAAAAATTTGTTATGCAATATAAGACCATCTTAAGAATTCAGCAATTAAATTATAAAACTAATTGTAGGAGATTTTGTGTACTTGCTCAGAGCGAGTTTTGCACTGTTTGAAAGTATGATAATTTATCTAATGAAGTTTCTAACTGAGTTGAAAAATTAGATTCTACGGTTGAAATGAGTTTGTAAAAGAGGTGTTGTAATCACCCTCATTTTATTAATCCAGGAGATCAAAAATTAGATTCAAATTAGGAATCAATGGCCATTAGAAAAAAGGAAAACCCAGTTCTAAATGGCGATACTTTTCTTTTTAAATTTAACACGTAATTTCATTTTAATATGGAAGTTTGTAAAAAGAGCAGAGTTTTGATTAATTTATTATATAAAAAAAATCAAGTCGTAATTATTTACAATAAGGAGATGCACATCGGAGAAGTGACCGGTTAAACCTTTCAGATTTCTAAGAAAGATTAGGTCCATTTGCCTGAGTAAATTATAATTAATATATGCCCTGAACAATATTAGTGTAACATTATGCGCGTTTAAATGGGAATAATTTTCCTGTTAAAAAAATAAATACGTACCATTAAAAGGTGATTTTGATTTATTAAAATTTGTTTCTCAAAATGCTATAATCAAACAAATATTGTTTTAATCAATAAAGAAAAATATAATAAAGTTAATTTTGTGTAACAAATAAACCAAATACGAATAGGATACGAGCCCAGACGCATATGAATTGTGACACATTTACGAATAGATGGCAGTAAAGTGGGCAGTAACATACCCACATTGATTAATAAATACTTATCTAACTTTGGTTCCGACACATTTAGTGGAAAATGTTACTCAAAATTCGCCGTACACTGAATTCTGAATATTTTCGCAACGCAAGGTGGTCATTTGAGCCTTAGGTTTAGTATTTGTTGCACCACCTTTAAGTTATTCAATAATACTAAATAAAAAAAGTAATCAAATAATGCAACACACAGCAAATTTACTTTACACTACTGTTGCATAGTTATGTTCGTTGGGAGAATGCTTAAATCAAGACCGGACCTTATCAGTACTCTTTTCATCGCAATGAAAATATACTGGCGCGTTTAATTAGTTTGTCCTTGACGGTGTACGGCTATTTTAATCTCACTAAGGAAAGTAGTTTGCTTGACGTAAACTATTTATTACTTTCCATTACGTTCGCATTAATCATTACTCTTTGAGTGGATAAAAATGACACATTAGAATTAAATCACAAAATCACAAAAGATTTTACCAGGGATTTTACTTGGTAACAGAACTAAGCATTTATTCCTTGGTATTTCCCGATCGAAAACTTTTACCGGATTAACTATTAGAAGACAGTCGCGATCTTGTTCGATACTCGAAACGTAACGCCGAACAAAAACTATTAATCTGAACCGTCTGTCTCGAGAATCTTTTTCTACCAACTCTTCTAACTAATCTTCTACGATCCAGAGAATAATCTCATGCCTAATTTGCAGTTGTAATGGAATACATCTAATTAAAATAACTTAATATGATCCAAAACTCCGACATCTAGGCTCGAGACACCCCAAATTCATTAATAAAACAATGCTCTTCAGAAATTAAACGACGCATCCATTTCACCGAATGGTCGCTTATTTATTCTTACAATTCCACTACCAAATGATAACTGTGACACCCTATAAATACGTAATGAGAAATCCCAAAATCTCTAAAACTACAACGAAATTTCTAAAAAATTTAGATGCAAATTTAGAGCTACCGTTCCAAAACCTAAATCCTATCTCCAAAAGTAGGTGCATTGCCTAATTTAAGTATAACATTAATCTTCAGAAAGTAACATGCTCGAGTTTGATCAACTAATGTAATTATGGTCAACAACAATTTAGTCCACCAGAATTTTCCATTTTTATACACAATTAAGGGTGCGCCCATTAAGTGCACACCCCCTTTCAGTGAATAGCATTTATTTGCTGCGACCAATTTTGTTTGAATTATAAGTGTATCGCACTAATTAGCTTGTGCACTGATATTAAACTTGTTTTGCG